GGTCGTGCGCCGGAAGGCTCGTGCCTTTGTAATCGCATCCCGGCATATCGACACGCAATTCGTAAGTCCGTGCAATGGACTTCGCGACAATGTAAAAGTGAAATACATTCGAGTTAACGTTATTTATCCTTGTCTTCTTTCCCCTCATCACTACCCTCGTATTCCTACATAATAAGCGCGAGGTCGTATTCAATACTCGTGCCTCGTAGACAAGGTCATCCTGCATATTCCTCCGAGAATACCGGTGAAACAACATTAACATTACCAAGTCATTTACATATATATGTATTCTTATATATTATCACTAAAGGAAAGTTGGTATTGAATTTGGCTAAGATCGTTGAAGGCGGTAACCGATATTTAATAATTTTATAAGAAAATTTTATTAACCGATTTACTTTGGCAAGAATCGGAAAAAAGGTTACCGATTTCTACAAGAAATTTATACTTAACACTAAGAGGATTCTGTAGTATATTAAATTTGGCGTCAATCATTGAAAAATTACTAATTTGCACATTTTATTTTTTGTTAAAACTGTCCAATCAGAGCTTGTGATCTCGATTCGATAGGATCGATAGACCGCGCTTGTATCGACACGCGATACGTATTTATGTTTCCTATATATACACACTACATTCATGTATCTATGTAACTTGGATTCTTCTTCACTTATTACAGAAAATATATTGTGTGTGCCACGTTGTCTTGCAATCGCTCGTTGATCATTATCACCCGCTCACAATTGCCATCAGGTTATGGGCCCAGTTTATCGCCAAGTAACTGCGTAAATGAGTCTGTGAGAGTTACGGTGTGAGAGATATCTTGATCGCGGAGTTATCGCAGAGTGATCGCGGAAAGATTTTCGCTGGCGCCGAGTTACACGTAGCCGACGCGTGATCAGCTCGCAACGCCGTTGCGTGTCGTGTAGCCCGGACTTTCCTTCGTGCAAGCAGAAATCGCTCTCAGAATGAGTCAAACAAATACGCACGCGTTACCTCCTATAGAAAAGTTAATCGGTCGCGAGAACTTTACGACATGGAAGTTTGCGATGCAAAGCTACTTGGAACTTGAGGACCTGTGGGACTGTGTACGTGGCGTGAATTTAGACAAGAAAAAGTGTATACGTGCGCGGGCTAAAATAATACTTTCAGTGGATTTTGTGAATTACATTCACCTGTAAAGCACTAAGACGCCGAAAGAAGCTTGGGAGAAATTAAAGGAAGTATTCGATGATACGGGCTGTTTCGTGCTCGACTTGATTTTGTCGAAGCGCGATGAATGCCGGAGCCACTCAGATAGAGTGCGAAACGAGGGTGAGGGCGGCGAATGAGAACTCGTCAATTGGTCACGCGATTTATTTACACAATGTAGCTTTTATTACACGGACACTGTCGTGGCCAGAATTCTATCATTCTATCTATTCTATCTATTCTATCATTCTATCTATTCTATCTATTCTATCATTCTATCTATTCTGCGATCTTGACGCGGTGGTCTGTCGCAACGCGACTCGGATCTTGCCGTGCGTCGACCGGACGTTCCACGGACGGAGCGAACGAACTCTTGGCCGCGAGACGGACTGCAACCGCTCCCGCTTGTCGACAAAGGTCCGGAGCTAAACTTCGGGTTGAGCTCGATTATTACGTTTCGATTGTCTATCACTCACGCACTCGGCGAAAGATTGGCGGCGATGCCGCGCTTAAACGGTAGAGAAACCACGCACAAATTTTCGGCCGTGAGGCGGAGAGAACTTGCCGCTAACGTGTACGAATCGAGTCTAGTTTCGCGATCGCTCGCTCTGGCCCCGAGAGCCGCGCACCTCTCCCAAAGGGTCGCGTCAACGCGTGATTGACCACACAGGAGAGCGTGATCGATCAACCCCGTGCGGGTCGAATCCGTGCCACGAGACTGACAGCAGACGCGTCGCAGTCAGCCTCGCGGCCCGGTTACAACGCTCCTTAACATACCGCCCGCCTCGAAACAGAGGTTTCGACGTTAGTGACCCTTGAGTGGGTCTTGTGAGGCGATCGATAGGTTAACAAGAAACTTAAGATACTACAACTTAAATCTAAATTATGTACAAAAATTATTTACAGGTTGCTTAATGCTAAATGGCGGCGCCAGTGCGGTGGCTCGGACCGCCCGCCATGACCGAGATAATTTGGCGACGAATATGAGCGCAGGGGTGTCCAGTTAGACGCCTTCTAAGTCGATCGGGAGGACACAGAGCTTGACGATAGGGCGATTATACTCCGATGTGGCCGTTTTAACCGTTACAACGCGTGTCAGTCCATCGGTGCCAGGGTGACATTGAGTAACTCTACCGAGTTCCCATTTACAAGGTGGTAGGGCGTTACTTCGCAATAAGACTAGTTGCCCGATTTGAATTGGAGGCTGAATTCGGTGCCATTTGACCCGCTGCTGGAGTGTGTTTATATAGTCGCTTTGCTACAGCTTCCAAAAACGCTCGGCTATTTGACGCACGAGTTGCCATCGAGACAACCGGTTTTCATTTAGTGTTAAGAAGGAAGGAGAAGGAGAAACGGTGATTGCAGACCCGATCAGAAAGTGACCGGGTGTTAATGTTTCGTACTCATGAGGGTCGTCTCGCAGCGGAGCGAGAGGACGCGAATTAAGACATGCTTCAATTTTGCAGAGAAGTGTGGAGAACTCCTCGAAGGTCAACGTATAATTTTTTATAACGCGACGTAAATGATATTTCACACTTTTCACTCCTGCTTCCCATAATCCTCCAAAATGAGGCGCTGACGGAGGGAGAAAATGCCACTGCGTGTGGTCGGTCGCCGTAGAATTGAGAAAATTCGGATCCGAGACAGCCGCCTTGTACGCGGCGGTTAATTCGCGGTTCGCGCCGACGAACGTGGTTCCGTTATCCGAGTGCATCGACGCCGGCAATCCTCGACGAGCGCAAAAACGAATGTACGCGTCCAAAAAGGATGACGTGGAATAGCTTCCGACTAACTCTAAATGAATCGCTCTTGTAGCGAGGCACACGAATAACGCGATGTACGTTTTGCACGACTTGATCCCACGACTTCCCGAAGTTCGTATTTGAACAGGTCCTGCGTAGTCGAGTCCACAGTGGAGGAAGCTACGAGTTGGCGGAGAAACTCGCAGCGAGGGGAGATCTCCCATAAGTTGCTGAGGAGCTACGGCTTTCTCTCGCGCGCACGTCATGCATTTGTGAATGAGGGATCTTACTATCTTGCGAGCTTGGAGGAACCAATATTCTTGTCGCAATGTTAGGAGCGTGAGTTGAGGACCGGCGTGGGGCAATCGCACATGAGCGTGCCGTATGATAAGGGACACGAGGGGATGAGCGGAGAGAATGATAGGGTGTTTCGTGCGATCGGGGATGGGAGCATGTTTTAAGCGACCTCCTACTCTCCGGTCTCCTTAGGAGACCGTCTTGATCCATGAAAGGGTAAAGAGAGAGTAATGAACTTTTTCGAGCAAGGGGTTGCTGAGCGGCCAGCACCTTTATTTTGTCGGAAAATGACGTCGCTTGTATTGATTTAAGCCAAAAGACTTTTGTTTGATGACACTCGTTGGTGGACAGAGTTAAACCAGGAGAGGGGGACGGGAGGCCGTCGCGTTTGATTCGACGGCAATGAATGACAAATCGAAAAATGAGCGCTGTGACTCGGATCAACTTGGGCCACGACGAAAAGCGTTTGTCAAGATCCCAAGAGGGAACCAGTGTCGCGACTTGACAAACGACTTGCTTTTGCTCGAGTTCTGTCTCATAAGGATCCGTTGAATCTTCGCGCGGCCAATAACGTTGGGGAAAGTGAAGCCATGGAGGGCCCTTCCACCATAGGGCGTGTTCCAATAACTCATGTCCCAGTAAGCCGCGAGAGGCACAATCAGCAGGATTGTCGGTTGTAGGAACATGTCGCCATGAAACATGCGGAAGAAGTGATTGAACTTCATGGACTCAATTGGCTATAAATGTCTTCCATTTTGACGGATGCTGGCTGAGCCAGGCGAGCACGATCTTGGCGTCAATCCAGCAGAAGCAATCAGAGTTCTTGAGGACTATAGATCGTCGGACAAATTGAATTAATCGCGCTAGCAAAACCGCGGCGAGCAATTCTAAGCGCGGTACGGTCACTGGTTTGACCGGAGCTAATTTAGATTTGCTCGTTAACAACGAGATAACAATTCGGCCCGACGACGTTTCCACTTTTAAATATACAACGGCAGCATAGGCGCTCGTTGATGCGTCAGCAAATCCGTGGAGCTCACAACGTATGGTGTCAGATCCATAACCTGTCCATCGTGGAATTTGCAGGCGGTTGAGAGCTTCAAGATTCGTGTAAATAGATTGCCATCGAGTGGAGTCATCGGAGGGGATGTCATCATCCCAGTTGAGGTTGAGGCGCCATAGCCTTTGCATGAAAATTTTAGCGGTGACAATAACGGGAGTGGCCCATCCTAACGGATCAAATAGTTTGGCTATCGTGGACAGAATGGCCCGCTTAGTACGAGGAAGTTTTGGATCGAGGCTTACGCGAAATTGAAAGTGATCCTGAGATGGAGCCCAGCTGATGCCTAAAACCTTGACGCGTTCGTCGTCTTGCAGATTTTTGTTACAGGCAAGGCCGTGGTTGGCAGGATCGATGTCGGACAGTAACTCAGACGAATTACTCGCCCATTTTCTTAGTTCGAATCCATCTAAGCGCAAGAGGGCTTAAAGCTGGTCGCGAGATTGACGTAATCGTATAGGATCGTCATCGCCGAAGAGGGCATCGTCGGCGTACCATTTCCTTTGAAGGATGATGACAGCCAGTGGGAACTTGTGACCTTCATCGGTTACAAGTTGAATGAGAACGCGAAACGCTAGAAATGTCGCAGAGATCATACCATAAGTTACGGTTAATAACACATACTCTCGAGGAATGTCTGAGGGATTAGGTGTCCACAATATTCTTTGATAATTGCTGTCGCGGGGGTCGACACGAATCTGCCGGTACATCTATGTAATATCCGCAGTGTACACGTATCGAGATTGTCGCCATTGTAATAAGACAGCCGGCAGATCTTGTTGAAGCTTAGGTCCTGTCAGGAGGTGGTCATTCAGGGAGGATCCGTTCGCAGTCAAGCACGACGCATTGAATACAACCCTTAAATGAGTTGTCACGCTGTCTTCACGAATGACCGGATGATGGGGAATGTAAACGTTTTGCGCATTATCTATTTGAGACCGCGGTACTTCTTGCATATGACCTAGCTTTTCATACTCCCGCAGGAAATCTGAATACTCTTTCTGCTGCTCCGGATTGCGTTGCAACCTCCGAGTGAGGCGTTGTAGACATTTGTCCGCAATGGCTCTGGAATGGCCGATGTTGATAGGAGGGCCGGTTTTGAACGGCAAACGAACCATGTATCGACCATCCGGACAGCGCGAATGGGTTTGACGAAAATGCTCTTCGCATTGTTCGTCAGCCGGGCTAAGAATGGAAGATCGGGGAATTTCCTCGACTTCCCAGAAGCGGCGTAACTCGGCTTCGAGTGATTCGCCTTGAGAACAAAAATGTGAGGTCACGAACGGAGGAGTGCTTGACAATGGGCTTGATGACGTGTGTGACGAGACTAGAGAGGAGGCCATAGGTCCGGAAATAATCCAACCTAACACGGTGTTCTGAGCAATCGGTCGGCCGGTGGCTCCCTTCCGGAGGCCGTCGAGAATCAACTCGCCGTAAAGATCAGCGCCAACAAGAATTTGAATGGGATCTGTGCTCATGGGATCAGAATCTGCCCATGGAAGATCCGCGAGATGACTCAAAGTGAGCTCAGTTTCCACGCGTGGTGGAATGTATGACGTTAAAGATTTCAAAATCAACGCGGTCGTCGAGAATGCCGGTGCCGTGCGATCACGCGGAGAAATTGTGATTGTAGCCGCGGAGCGGTATGTCCCGGCGTTGACACAACCAACTGCCGAAATAGTTGTTGGCAAGCGAATTCGCTTCAAGCGCAAACATTGAGCGAGTTTCTCTGTGATGAAGGTCATTTCCGACCCTTGATCTAACAGTGCTCGAACCGTGACGAAACGACCTGACGACGAGCCGACCGTTATCCAAGCCGTAGCGAGCAATACATGTACGCGCGCGGTAGCATTTGAGAATGTAAACAGTGAATTTACTTCTTCTTTGGTTGTCGTGTCGGGCTGGGACAGCGGACTCGTCGGCACGACGTCTAGAGCTTTCGGTTGAAAGTCCGAGTCAAGGTGAAGCGTCGTATGATGCTTACGTTGACACAAGCGACAAGTGAATTTACTGGAGCACGCTTGAACGGCGTGACCTTTTCTCATACAATTGAAACAACGGTTTTCTTTTCTGACTAAATCGCGCCGTTGACTCGGACTCTTACTTACGAACTGCGGACATGCACTGAATTGATGCTTCAATTTACATAATGAACATTGCGGTGGCGACTGCGCGGATGCAGCCGCACTGTTAATTTTTTGTACGCTCGATGGTTTTGATTTGTCGGCGGGAGAATGGGGGAGCTTCCTCAAGCGCGCGAATCCGATTGTCAAGAAATTTACTGAAATCTTCATATGTCGGAGGAGTGCGTTCCTCGCTATATTTTAAATTCCACGCTTTGCGTGTTACCGTATCGAGTTTCAACGAACCGAGATTGACTAATATGTCACTCCACAGTTCTTCGGGTGAGCGATTCAACTTGCTCAGAGCGGCGACCGCAGTATTTATTTTGTCGCGAAGGGTTTGGAGCTCGGCCGCGGATTCACGCGCGACCGCCGGCAAATTGAGCAACGTCGACATATGAACATTGATGAGGCGGCGTTTATTTTCGAATTGCGTATTTAACGTGTTCCATGCAATCGCGAAATTATCTGCCGTGACGTTAATATCCTTGACGCAATCAAGGGCACGATCTTTTAAGCACGACACAAGGAAATGCATGCGCAAAAAATTCGACAAATCTTTATTGTTAATGATGAGCGAAATGAATCAATCTCGGAAGCTCTCCCATTCGTCGTAATTTCTGTTAAATGGCGGTAGCGTTATTGGCGGTAAGTGAGACAGCGAAAACGCGGATGATGATCCAAGCGGATGATGTCCAGATTCGAATGATTGGTTCGGACTCACGTAAGGATCCAGTTCCTCGAGACATTCGGCCATGTAGTCAGAGGCAGCCTGGTACGCGTCTTCACAAGCTTCGTACTGCGATTCCCGGAAGTAGTCGTCAGCAGAACGGTCAGCAGCTGGGGTGGCGGCAAGAAGGGCGAAATGCCCGTTTTGAACTTGCACCCAGATGTCTTTTAGCGCACGGATTCGATTTCGAATTTTGGCAGGAGTAAGATTTTTCTTGCCGATTTTTCGAAAATTGTCTACTGCACGGTCGACGCCTCGCATCAACTGCGTTTGCCGTTCCCGAAGTTCAGCCATTTTGCACTGACTTTACGCGTGAACGTTCTCACCGCGAACTCGCGTGAATCTCGTTTCGATCCGGCTCGAAGGACCAGATGTTTCGTGCTTGACTTGATTTTGTCGGAGCGCGATGAATGCCGGAGCCACTCAGATAGAGTGCGAAACGAGGGTGAGGGCGGCGAATGAAAACTCGTCAATTGGTCACGCGATTTATTTACACAATGTAGCTTTTATTACACGGACACTGTTGTGGCCAGAATTCTATCTGCGATCTTGACGCGGTGGTCTGTCGCAACGCGACTCGGATCTTGCCGTGCGTCGACCGGACGCTCCGCGGACGGAGCAAACGAACTCTTGGCCGCGAGACGGACTGCAACCGCTCCCGCTTGTCGACAAAAGTCCGGAGCTAAACTTCGGGTTAAGCTCGATTATTACGTTTCGATTGTCTATCACTCACGCACTCGGCGAAAGATTGGCGGCGATGCCGCGCTTAAACGGTGGAGAAACCACGCACAAATTTTCGGCTGTGAGGCGGAGAGAACTTGCCGCTAACGTGTACGAATCGAGTTTAGTTTCGCGATCGCTCGCTCTGGCCCCGAGAGCCCGCACACCTCTCCCAAAGGGTCGCGTCAACGCGTGATCGACCACACAGGAGAGCGTGATCGATCAACCCCGTGCGGGTCGAATCCGTGCCACGAGACTGACAGCAGACGCGTCGCAGTCAGCCTCGCGGCCCGGTTACAACGCTCCTTAACACGGGCTTAACACGAAAAGTCGGACTTTTAAGGAAATTGGTTACGACGCAACTTGAAAATTGCAGTTCAGTAGAGAAATACGTCAATCAGATCATCACGACGGCGCATCAACTCAACGGCGTAGGCTTGGAGGTAAAGAACGAGTGGATCGGTACGTTGTTGCTCGCGGAGCTTTCGGACGGTTACAAGCCAATGATAATGGGCTTGAAAGCTCTGGTATGCCAATTACCGGAGATGAATGATCAAAACGAAACTTCTGCAGGAGGTAAGAAGTGGCAGTGCTAAGCCAAAGAGTAGCGAGTCCGATACTGCATTTCTCAGTAAGCAAAAGCAGAAGAAAAAGGTAAAATGTTTTTTTTTGTAATCAATTCGGTCATATAGCGCCGAAATGTCCTCAAAAGAAAAAGTCGAAAAATAAGAAGACAAATGAGCCTAAAGCCTTCTTCACAGGAAATGCGACGGAAAAAGCAGAAGGTTGGTTGATCGATTCCGGAGCGTCTTCCCACATGACGAGAGATCGAGAGTGGTACAAAAAATTGAAAAAGTGTAAGAATACGAAGATCAAGGTCGCCAACGACGCGAGACTCTCGGTGGAGGGCAAGGGAGACATTGATCTGGTAATTCAAGTCAACGGCTCAACGGATCAATTGAAGATCAAGGACACGTTGTACGTACCTGAGCTGTCAGCGAATTTTCTCTCTGTCAGTAAGATAACCTCAAAAGGTTATACTGTAACCTTTATGAAGGAGAAGTGCGTGATAACGGACAAAAGTAAAGAGCCGATGGCGACGGCGTCTCGCATCAATGACACATATCGTCTTGATTGTCCGTCCATGGTCTTCTACCGTGGTCAACAAGAGGAAGAGAGTTCACTGTGGCATTGACGGCTGGGACATCTTGGACGGTCCGGGATGAAGCTACTCAGGGACAAATATGGCGTGGGTATTAGCTTCGAGGATCCTACGAATGAGCCATGCGTTACGTGCTTGAAGGGCAAACAACACCGAGAACCATTTCCTCGATCGGGGAAAAGAGCATCCAGACCATTGGAATTAGTGCATTCGGACCTGTGCGGTTCAATGTAAAAGACTTCAATAGGTGGATTAAAGTATTTCATGACACTGATCGATGACTACTCAAGAAGAACTTCGGTGTATTTTCTCAAGGCAAAGTCTCAAGCTTTGGAATGTTTTTGGGACTTCAAGAGCATGGTAGAAAATGAAACGGAAAATAAAATAAAAGTTCTCCGCACGGATAATGGGAAAGAATTTATAAATGAAGAGTTTTCAGCCTTTCTACGAAAATCGGGAATTCGTCACCAAACTACGATTCTTAGGACGCCTGAGCAGAACGGGCTCGCTGAGCGGATGAACCGTACCATAGTGGAGAGAGTCAGGTGCCTCTTAGCCGATGCAGAGCTAGACACTAGCTTCTGGGGAGAGGCAGTATCGACCGCGGTTTATTTGATAAACCGTTCTCCAGCGAGGGCGCTTCAACACAAGACTCCAGAAGAGCTTTGGACTGGTGAGAGACCAAACTTATCGCATCTACACGTATTTGGATGTCGTGCCATGTCTCATGTGCCAAAAGAAAAGAGGAAGAAGTGGGACATGAAATCAGAGGAATGCATCTTCTTTGGTTACCTAGAAGAAACCAAAGGCTATCGTCTATACCAGTTATCGTCACGAAAAGTAATCAAGAGCAGAGACGTCGTTTTCCTGGAAGGTGATCGCAAGAAAAGGGAATCTGAAGAGGAAAAAATGAAGGGCGAGACCAGCATTCCAGTCAACGACATAGAAGTCCTCGATGAAGTAGGGGCACTGCCCAAGGAAGAAGATTCCCTGTCAATCGTAACCGTCTCGTCGGAATCGGAACTCGATGACGGAGATGACGGCGATGACGGCGATGACGGAGACGACGGCGATGACGGCGATGACAACAATGACGGAGATGACGAACGCCAAATAACCGCGCCACTCCAGAAACCCGCCGAGCAAGTGAGGAGATCTTCGAGAAAACCAGCACTAAAAAAGTTTGTCTACGTGAGCTACAAGGCAACTGATGAGACCTTGACTGATCCAGTTACAATCAAGGAAACTTTTGAAAGCTCTGATAGCGTTAAGTGGAAAAAAGCTATGGCCGAAGAATACAGATCTCTTATGGAAAATGGTACATGGACACTAACCAAGCTACCGGCTGATCGAAAGGCCTTGAAGAGCAAATGGGTTTTCAAGAGGAAGAAAAACTCCAACGGTGAAATTGAACGACATAAAGCTCGTCTTGTCATTAAAGGCTACTCACAGGTCAAAGGCATTGATTACGAAGAAACCTACTCACCAGTCGTGAGGTACGGATCTATTAGACTTCTACTCGCTCTTGCGGCCAAATATGACTTGGATGTGGACCATATGGATGTGATCACAGCGTTTCTACAAGAAGACCTTGCAACCGCACGCGCCGTGTCGACCAACTGACGCTGACGTTGACGGTGGTGCCGCGTACAGCGGCGCGGGACGAACAAGACGAGCCATCTGACGAGTTCCTCAGCCCATCTCCAGGGGAGGAGACCTCAGGGGACGATAGGGACATTCCCGCTATAGATTAAGTTTTCGCGAGCGCTCCGAGGACGGAATTACCTAGGGAGCACAAACTTCTTTTCGTTATTAAGTTGGATATTTATTTTATTCATTTGTTCCACAGATTAAGTTTATCCGTCCGGCGCAATTAGAATTAAGTTATGCGACAGCGTTCGCCGAGCAGCGGCTCACCTAGCACTTAAGTTCTTCCTTCCCGATCCACATCAGTCAATTTCTTTTTTCGGCATGACAATGCCCGGCCCGACTGGGATTAGGTTTTTATTTTGGTTTTGGGTATGTGCGTGGATTGCGGTAACGCACACATTAACGTAACAGTCGAGCCACACACAATTTTCAAAGCGCGGGCAACAAGTGCCCGAACCATGCGTGCCCCGCGAATAATAATCATTTTGCCGACTCACGAGGTCCCCAAATAGGGGCATACGCGAAAGCGCCGCGATCTGAACACCCGGACATGTAGTTCGGGCGACAACCCGCGAAAGCGTGATTCGGACGTTGCGACCGCATGCGACGCCTCGATCATCCGAGAGAACAAAGACGAAAAACTCCGCGTCCCGATAGGGA